TAAATTGGGAAGGGTAGAGATATGGAGTGTGTGGATGCTGGAAACAGTGGCATACAATAGCAGCATCAGTCCCACGATAAACACTCTTCTGGAAGCACGTTTGGTTTCTAAAACTTCCACCACCTTCAGCCATTTAACAGTCTCCCACTCCCATGATTTTTGTTGTTGGTAAAAGCATTTGTAATTCACCCTTCATCCCTAAAAGATCAGGGGTTGGTGCTATATGGGGCTTTATAAAATAACCAACCATGCAATAAAACAATATCAAACTCCCAAACACACCAACAAGATAAACTATGAAACAATTATACCCTTACATGCAATGCAATTCTGTTTATCTCTCTTCCTTCCAAGCCACCTTTTCTCCATGACTTAACCTCTTAGTCCTCCAGACCTCTGAAAAGCATGCCTTTTTCTTCCCATTACCATTTTTCTCACATTCCCTTGGGCTGAATTTTCAATTGTAGGCACCTCAGGGCAACAGCTTGACTTTTTGCCCATTATTCTGTAAGGCAACGTTCACACCGATGGTGTTCACATAAGTGAATATAAATCATCATTGGGACACAACAGCACAACCGATTTGGAAAGGCGAGTTGAGATAATGCGTCGCTGGATCTAGGAAGCTCCATTGCCTACACAAGGACTTCCCAAGTTCAGAAACAAGGCTATAGATAGGACAATTATTAAATGGAGGTTTATTTGTTCATTTAGGTAGGCTATGTTTAGGCCACCTTATCCTAGGATCTCTGGGCAGGCCACAAGAAAATCAATAAAATGACGAAGTCTCCATTTAAAACACATATTCCAGAGAAAATGCAATTAAAAAAACACATCTGCAGTATCAAATAACAAAGGCCTGAATAACAAAGGCGTCTGAATTTCATTGATGAATTTGCCTTCTATGTGTCCCACCATAGAAAATGTCTATCCATGTGGCACTGCCAAGCATACAGTTTCCAGTGATGGTACATTAGGGAGAACTTCCTTGGAAGATCTCAACTCATGGGCAGGAACATACAGAGAGAGGCTCTCCTTCAAGTACAGAGATCCCAAGTCATTTGGGGCTGAATATGTTATTTGTAAAAGGCTGGATTGTAGTCACTGGGCTGCCCCTGCTGGAGGAAGGGGTTGAGGCAATTTTCACAATTTCCTGTGCCCTTGAATACTGCTCTGCCATGTTGGGGCCTCTGGGGAAAAGTAACAGGCAATGAAGGAAGCAGGAGAGGGAATGGGCAAAACTGGACCACCAGCTCCTTCTTCCAGTGGGAGACTTAGTTGGATCTCAGTCCTTTCTGTCAGTAATTTCGTTGTCCCCGAGAGGGGGCAATGACAATAAAGATATTATTATTATTATTATTATTATTATTATTATTATTATTAGGAACATAGGAAGCTACCTTTTACTGAGTCGGACCATTGCTCCACCCAGCTCAGTATGGTCTACATTGACTAGCAGAGGTTCTCCGGGATTTGGGGCAGGAGCCTCTCCCAGTCGTACCTGGAGAGGCCAGGGATTGAACCCTGGACCTTCTGCTTGCAAGGCAGATGCCCTGCCATTGAGCTATGGACCTTCCTTAAGCAGAAGGAGCTATTCCATCTGGATTAGAGAGGGATGAATCTGTCACATTTCTCATTTTACCAAAGCTGAGTTCAGCCAGCCCACATCCGTGTGTGAAGTTGTCTTTTAAAAGCCTGCACACACAAAACGATGCATTTTATGAGCATTTCTCATCCATATGCAATTTTGCGTGCAATTTGCCTAATGTGTGCATTTTGTGAGTCATTTTCCATCATAGAATGCCATTTTGTATATTATTTCCTCTAATGGGTGCATTTTTGTGCACCATTTTGACTGGAAAACTGTGTCACAAAAATCAGTTCGCTTACTGGCTTAGGAAGCATACACTTCTCCCCCATCCTCACCTAGACAACCCTCTAAATTAGAGTGATGTGAATCTTTATCCTTTCTGTGCTGTGGTGGAGAGGGAAACCGTCAGATCCCGACCGCACGTACAAAGTCACCCTGCAGCTTCCAGCAGAACTGGCGCTGGATCTTCTTATGCCATTGCTACTTTATGCATGGCTTTCGCGTTGAGATGTGGAAACGAAGTGTTTGCAAAGATGAAAAACCTCTCATTTCCCATTTGGCAGCTCTAACTGCCAAGTTCACCTACCTCTCTAAACGGCAGAAATTAGCAAAGCTATTTGTTGGTGTGTCTGCCCAGCATCGAGGAGAATACCAAGTAGGATTAGCATCATCAGGGAAACATAACGTCTCATTATTTTGTGTGCCTGTTATAACTCTCTTAATATAAATATACCTCTTTGACATGTGTTTATTTATTTGTTTAGTTGCTTGTTGTTGTTTTTAATTAACATCTATAATGCAAAAGTTATTTCTTACTGGGGTACTAACGATTTGTTAGCTAAAATTATGAGGAGCTAGTAATCATAACTCGGCTCATAACTCCTGGTGGGGAGGGGCAGAGTTTAGTTATGTGTCTGATAAGTGGCTGCACTATCACTTGTTGACTTGGATGTATTTAAAAGAGGATGGGGGGTGGAATCATGGAGGATAAAGGTATCAATGGCTACTAGCCATGAATCAGGAGGCGGGTGGAGCTGTGGTCTAAACCACTGAGCCTCTTGGGCTTGCTGATTGGAAGGTCAGCGGTTTGAATCCCCACAACGGGGTGAGCTCCTGTTGCTTCTGCCAACCTAGCAGTTTGAAAGCACAACAATAGGTACCACTGTGGCGGGAAGGTAAACAGCGTTTCCGTGTGTTCTGGTTTCCGGCACGGTGTTCCGTTGTGCCAGAAGTGGTTTAGCCATGCTGGCCACATGACCTGGAAAGCTGTCTGTGGACAAACGTCAGCTCCCTTGACCTGAAAGTGAGACCCCATAGTCGCCTTTGACTGGGGTCCTTTACCTTTACCTTACCTTACTAGCCATGAAGACTGGGTTCTGCCCCCACTCTCGGAGGCACCATGTCTCTGGATACAAGTTGCTGAGCATTGCAGGTGGGAAGAATGCTGTTGCTAGCTTTCCATGGGCATCTGGTTGGCCACTGCAAGAATGGGATGCTCGGCTAGATGAGCCATTGACCTGATCCAAAAAGGCTCTCCTAATGGTCTTATGCCCCAAGTGGCTGCCAAGGGTAGCCCTTTCAAAGAGGCTTTCCTTCAACAACAACAGATCTCAATAGCCTTTTTACCTCAGTGCAGAAATCTTGGTTAACCAACTCCTTGAGCTCATAAATGGTGATGAGGTTTCAGGAGGAAGTTGAGGGAAAGCCGTGCTACAAATTAAGGGGGTTTAGTAGCAGAAGGAAAGGGAACAGGTGAGAAGGGGAGCAAGTCCACAGCAATGAGTAAAGCAAGGGGGGCAGAACTGCAGCTGTGTAATATAATCTGTGGCCTGAGGGGCATGAAGATGTGAGTGTACATATGTGACTGGAAGGCTGTTTCCCTGGTGGGCCTTGCCCAGATCATGTGATGATTGTTCATGCCAGGGCCAGTTGTCCCTGTGAAGCAGGGTGTGTGTGTGTACAGATTGAAAGCAGTGGTACAACTCAGATGACCCACCATCGGCACCTGCTGATGACTCACGCCATCCGCACCTGCTGATGATGTCACTGCTCAAATAGGGAACAGAGAGCCCTGCCATAAAGGATTTTTTTATTTTATGGCCGCTATCTACATTGGTAGCAAATCAACTGGACCTGAACAGTGAATAACCTTGTGTGGCCTGGATTAAGGAAGGAGTCATACCTGGCCAAGGGCAGCATCTGTAAAGATCTTGCTGCAATATTCAGACCCTGATTTTTGTCATCACTGCCATCACAGGTAGGGCTGTTCATAGAGCCAGATGCAGCAGCAAATGTGGATTTTACTTTGGTTTCTACACACACCCTTCCATCCTCCACCCAGGCAAGCAAGAGGCATTAGTAGAGTTCACAGACTCGTTGCTCCCATGCAAAAACACTCAGGGAAGGTGCAAAGCAGGTGAGGGGTGTGGCCTGATTGAGCCCCAGGAGCCAGAGAGAAAGGCCTGCAGCGCTGCATTTGGCCCTGAGTCTGAAGTTCCCAACCCCTGATCTAGAATTGATGTTCCCATTGAAATGGAAACCTGAGTGCACAGGGTGGGTTTCCTTGTGATATTAGGAATGAATGGAACGGGGACACGGACACACACCCACCCATACACCCCACCACTTTTCTTGCTCAACGCAAGCCTTTTTGTGGAGTACTAGAGCCTGGAAAACTGGCTGAGAGCCAGCCACTCCCCCGACTGCTCTTATCTAAGAAATGCACAAACCTTCTAAGCGAGGGTTGTGTTCAAAGAGAGGCCTGGCTGCTATTTGAAGGCCTCTGGGGATTTATGTGGTTCCACCCATACAATCAGCCTAGAGAAACTGGTGTTTAAGTCTATTAATTCTCACCTCTATCCACAATCCTTGCATTGACTTTGAGTTTGTGTAAGAGATGGAGTAAACTGAAATGTAACAAGCACCTCAATGCAATAGCACTACTGTCTTGTAGAGTGATTATATTGTTTTGTAATACTGCATTTAGAGATGTGCTAGATAGTCTCCACATGTGGAATGCTAGGCGCTTCTGAATAACAACAAAAATCCCTCTTTGAATCATACGTCAGCTGCCTGGGATAATCTGCTCATGTATATTTACGGGAAAGGTCCATAGCTCAGGAGCAGAGCATCTGCTATGCATGCAGGAGGTCCCAGGTTCAAATTCCTGGCCTCTTTAGGCAGGGCTGGGACTGTCCCCTGCCTGAACCCTTGGAGATCGGCTGCCAGTCAATGTAGACGAAATTAAGAAAGATGGATCAATGGTCTAGCTTAGCATTAGGCAGAGTCCTGTGCTCCTGTATCATGAGCTATTGAGCATGCAGAATTATCAGTTCAAATAACGAAAATGGATATCCTTTCCCACTCTGGTTCTCTAACCCTTAGTGTGATATATTTCCCCCCGTTGCAGATTGTATTCCGGAAGATTAGTGATGTCAAGCGAGAAGAAGAAGAGAGGATGAAAAGGAAGAACGAAGCCCCTTTAGTCTTGCCACCAGACCATCCAGTCCGCCGGCTTTTTCAAAGATTTAGGCAGCAGAAGGAGGCCCGGTTGGCTGCAGAAAGAGGCCGAGACGACTTGGATGTAGAGAAAGGCAACATTCTGGGAGACCACCCTTCGCGCACTGTGGTTAAAGCTAGCATCGTCACCGTCAGGGAAAGCCCCGCAACGCCAATCACCTACCAGTCTGCTTCAACATCCGGGGTATCTGACCAGGCCAAGCTTCAAGCCCCGGCCTCAGACTACGTAGGGGCGAAGGTGGCAGGAGACTTTCCGAAGCGCAAAGGCTGGGCAAAGTTCAAAGATGCCTGCGCGAAGGGAGAAGACTGGAACAAAGTCTCCAAGGCGGAATCCATGGAGACGCTGCCGGAGAGGACGAAAGTGGTGGGGGAAGCCACTCTGAAGAAGACCGACTCTTGCGACAGCGGCATCACAAAAAGCGACCTGCGCTTGGACAACGTGGGGGAGACGAGGAGTCCTCAGGACCGAAGTCCCGTCCTGGCAGAAGTCAAGCACTCCTTTTACCCCATCCCCGAACAGACTCTTCAGGCCACGATGCTGGAAGTGAAGCATGAGCTGAAGGAGGACATCAAAGCTTTAAACACAAAAATAACGAACATAGAAAAACAGCTTGCTGAGATACTAAGGATATTAGCCTCTAGAAGAAGCTCGCAATCACCACAGGAGTTGTACGAAATATCAAGGCCACAGTCTCCAGAATCAGAAAAAGACCTTTTTGGAGCAAGCTGAGGTGGTTCTTTTAAGCAGACGTCAACCGGATATCCCCCGCAAACACAACAAAACACCCACTTCAACATGTTTTAAGCGAAACATTTAATCTTTTCTTGATGAACTCCATTGAGGGGCCAATCCGTTAACCATGTTCTCCCCCCTCTCTAAATGGTATAGTAACAGGAATTGCAACCTCATGTCGAGATGGCAGCTGACTCTGAAGTCTTTTTGACAGCAAGGGTACAGTTTATAATGTTTATTTTCCCCCTCCTTCTTCGTCAGTGCATCCTTTACCCCTCAAATTGACTTTCGTTATATTAAAAAAGAAAGAAAGAAAAAAGACATTAATAGAAAACTAAGTCATATGTTAAGCCCAGTTCATATACTTACCTGGTTGTTGGAACTTTTTTTCATGGTGTTTATTCCTGGGCAAATTCTCCCTCCACATGTCAAATAGTATCTGACACAGGGGCTTCATGTGTGAATGAACAAGCGAAGGCCCCCTTTTGAAGGGGAAGAATCATGTCAATCAGGCGTTCACGTGAATGAACCTGCATGTTAACATTACACTGACTGCATTCATACGATACACTGAAAACACTACGAAGCTTTGAAGAGTTATGACTTCCCCCAAATAATTCTGGGAGTAAGGGTGCCTGAGCATTTTCAGAGACCCTTATTTCCTTCACAGAACTGCAATTCTCAGAGGGGTTTAGCCAGTAATCCCTTTTCACAGGTAATACTGGGAATTATAGCTCTGTTAGGGGGCTCCTAACAGATCTTAACAAACAGCTCCCATGATTCTCTGGGGGAAAGCCATGACTGCTTAAAGTGGTCTCATAGTGCTTTCAATGTGTGGTGTGATTGTGGTCCCTATGCATGTGTGGTGGTGTGGAAATCAGGGAGAGAAAGAGTTCCAACACTTTTATTACAAGAGGACCCACAACCGTAGGAAACACTTTAGGTTTCCACAGCCTGGTGCCCTCCAGACGTCTTAGACTACAACTCCCATCACCCCCAGCCAGCAACATTGTACTGACTGGGGCTCATGGGAGTTGTAGTCCAAAATATCTGGAGGACACCAGAGTACAGAAAGTGGAAGTACATGAACTGGGCTCCTTTCAAGCTTTGGGTCTTGAACATGACTTTACATTGCCAGCTTGCTGAGTAAGATCTCATCATTGTGAAATGGTTTAGCAAGTCCCTTCGCCTTCCTCCTTTTATGTCTGTATAGCCTTTATAGAGCATGTGAAATGGCGAGGTTTCACATGGTGGTGATAATGAGGTGGTCCAGAAAAGGGAGCAAAAGGTGGACTTCCTTATCAAAGTATGCAGTGTGTATTTTCAGATATGATTCGTAGGTGCCATAATTTATTGCCACCTGGTGGTAGAAAAATCTCAGATTTGGGTTGATATCATCTAACGGCAAAGAAACATGAAACTGCGAGATGGAGTATCCCTGTCATGAAAAATATTTGGAGTTTTTTTTTAAAAAAGAGGCCTTCCACACTAACGTGTGTTCGTGATTTTATAAACAAACTCCTGCCCCCACCCCAACGAAAAATTTATATTTTGTGCTCATGACGTTTTGAACTCTCCACTTTGCCTTTTGAGTTTCCTTTAAACAAGATATATGCCAAAGGATGCTGAACTATGTATACATTAAGACCAATGATGCACACCAACCATTCCGATGTATTTTCTCATTGTAATGGTCCCCGGTACCTTAGGGAGATAGATTGTGCTGTTCTGTCTCTTATCTCATATTCTAAGCTAATGCTGTCTCCCTTGAAATGTATTTGTCTTGAGGAAGAGTAACTAGGGCAATGTAGAAGTAAAAGCAGGCAGGGGGAAAAATTGCTTGTATTAAGGAAAACTCTATTGTACCAAAGGATGCTGCACCAAGGAGACAGTGAAAATTGCTTAACAGAGAAAGACTGCGTTGCTAGTGGGCTAGTGGACTTGGGGAACCCTCCACATGTTAACAGCCTCCCACAATCCTTGGCCATTGGCCATATTTGCTAGGGCTGATGGGAGCTGTAGTTCAGTCACATCAGAGCAGGGAAGTGGTGCCACATCCTTATTGCCATGGAAGAATAATGCTGCAAAGTGCTGAATCTAAACTGACCTGCAGTTTAACGTTCAGAGATATATTGTTTGGACTATTTTTAATCGAAAGAGCTGTTCATCAGCGATGCAGACTTCCTTTCCAAGATGTGGACCGGATCCTGAGAACTGCGGGTGGTGCCCAGCCCATGGAAATCAAATTAGTCCCAACAAATTACTTACATCCACTGATTTCAATGAGTCTGCTCTGAGTATTAGTCTCTGTCTGCGCTACCCATTTAAAGCTCTTTGATACCACTTTACAGAGCCATAGCTTTCCCCCAAAGAATCCTGGGAAGTAAAGTTTGTTAAGGGCACTGAGAGTTCCCCTCACAGAGCTACAATTTTCAGAGTGGCTTAACAATCAGTCACAGGGAACTCTGGGCACTTTGGCTCTGTGGGGGAAATAGAGGTTCTGCTAACCACTCTCAGCACATTTAACCAACTACAGTTCCCAGGATTCTTTGGGTTAGGCCATGATTGCTTAAAGTGATATGATACTGCTTTAAACGTAGAGTGCAGGTGGGGTCAGTGCAGTGAGTCAGACTACACTCTCTGTGCTCAACTCCCTTTCCCAAAGTAGCACCTCCCTGTGCCATTTACCACATTTTGTGCCCCCATTTTGTGCACAGCAGTATTGCAGATATCCTCGAGTGCAATGCCGCTTCTGAGGAACAGCAGCAGGAGAATCTGCTGGGGCTTAAAAAGAAAAAAGTCCTGCGCACCAAAACGGGTGCTTTGAATCCCAGCCGCGGTCTTTGCATATGGTTTTGATTGCTGTTAAACTGCAGGGATGCAGAGAGAGCATTTGCTCTCATCTTCATAATTATTAGGGACAAAAATAGAAAGCGATTCCAATAATACACAGTACATAAAGCTCAGCAGTTAGTAACTCTGCTGCAGTGCTGAGAAGCAGCTCTGGAGGACGTTAGTTCCTTAAGATTAATTTCTTTCAGACAAAGGCAATCACGGACTGCTGCGTGGGAAAGCTGGTGCCATTTTGCTTAGTTTATCCCACAGGATGTTTATAGCTTGCACCAAGTCATAAATTCCAGGGCCGCAGTGTTTACTTGACTAATCAGTTAGGTGGATTGATTAAAAACCTTTAAATTAATTAACCTTTCCATGAATTGGCAGTGGTTTGTCAAAAAAGGAAGGAAGGAAGGAAGGAAGGAAGGAAGGAAGGAAGGAAGGAAGGAAGGAAGGAAGGAGCAAGCTTGGAGCAGATTTCTGTTCATGGATTGAGTTGGCCCCACCAATTTACTTCTTGCTGTAGTCTTGTGTGCTTTTCTTCTGAGCCCCTTCTGAAGGTCTGTGAGCCTATGAGGTGATGTGGCATTCAGGGCTGTAGCTGGAATGAAGAGTCAAGGAACACACACACACACACACACACACACACCGGTTCACATGGGAGTGCCTTCCGCTTGCACAAGAAGCACTTTTGAGTCCAGCAAATGCATTTATTTTGAACCCTGGCATTTGCAAAAACCACAAAGGCAGGTCCAGTTTGGGAAGAACACATGCCTCGTTCTGTGATGCTACTTATGTGACACATCTAAGCACCGTTCCAAAATTAAAGAAAGCAGGGTTTATTTTCCTCCCTTCAAATCTATTGTTTATCAATATGAAAATGTCTGCAGATTTATTTCATTACTCCCTCGATGAAAAGCCATATGTTTGAACAGGGTGACAGGATTAATAAGTTTGTCTGATTTTGTGTACCAAAGGCTATTAAGTGAAAGGCTTTAAGTGGATAACCAACGAATACTTTTCTTTGCTTGATGCTTGGATTTAATACATCTATATATAGGTGTGTGAGAGAAGGTGCGAAGGAAGGGGAGGGAGAAACTCTATAGGCTTATAATATAGGGTAGTGGCCATATCCCAGTGGTAGAGAAGATGCTTTGCATGTAAAAGGTTCCAGATTCAGTCCCCAGCATCTCCAGGTAAAAGATCTCCATTAGAACCATGTGGACCTGCTGCCAATCAGTGTAGACTATACTGAGCTAGATGGACCAGTGGTCTGATTATGTGTAAAGCAGTTTCCCATGTTCCACTTTGCAGTGCCAGAATTTCAGGATTTAAGATTCCAAGGGCATCCACTCCAGAATGATATGAAAAACTGATTTCCTATTCTGCAAAGGTATGCAGTGGATAGAATAGCCGAGGAAGCAGAAAGCACTTTCTGTTGAATTAAGCTTATTTTTCCAAATGAGTACATCATTAGATTCTAATGTTTCCTTCGTGCCAACCTGATGTGCTTGCAAGATCTCGGCTGCAAGGCCCCACCATTGCCAGAGAGTCTTGCTTTTGCAATAGCCCTTCCTCACATTGCTATCCTTTATTCACTTACACTAGAGACTAAATCATTGCAGTCCAGTGTCGTTTGTTCAGGTCTGCACCAAGCGGTTAAAGGCTGCTGTTGTCTTTCATTAAAAGCTGCCCCTTGCACCTCTTGCAGCTTTTACTGCTATGTGTCCAGCTGGTAGAGCATGAGACTCTTAATCTCAGGGTCATGGCCTCGAGCCCCATGTTGGGCAAAAGATTCCTGCATTGCAGGGGGTTGGACTATGTGACCATATGACTCTCATGGTCCCTTCCAAGTCTGCAATTCGGTGATTCTATGAGTGCCCTATCTGTCTGTCTTCTTGTCAAGTCAAGCTATTTACATTTAGCAATACATCCGGGAACAGCCCTCACCTCCTCTAGTACTGCCACGAGAAGGAAAACAGAACCATAGTTTATTGTTCTGCCCAACCTAGGAACTTTGGTTATTGCTTCTTGTGCGAAACAAGCTAGGGATCATTAACCACAATCTGAGGTTAGCTTGCATCTGTAAAACATAGTTAATGCTAATAACTATGAGATATAACTGAGAATGTCCTATGGGTGTGCCGGAGGAGGAGGAGGAGCTCCTAAACCCGAGGCCCATGCATGTAATGCTAAACTATGCATACCATAAAGAGACGCAGCATCTCACTGATGGGGAAAAACACCCAACCAATAAATGAGGCAGATGCTGCAAGATGGAAGCTACTAATTAACCTTACAGGGGACCTTTGCAGAATGGGACTTACTTGAGAATAAGCTCTTGGCCATGGCAAAAGACGTGATTGGATAATATCACGTTATATTAAGTACCACTTGAACCAGTTTTAATTGCACTTCCAGTTCACTGCAGAAAAGCAGTGTCTCAGCAATGCTAAAGATCCCCAATGTGGAATCAAGCAACTACAGGTTAACTTTCAAGGCAAATTCAAGAACCAACCAATTAGCACAGATCAATGCAACATGTGCCTAGCCTAGCCGAATACAGTCCACCAGCCATAAAATGTGTCCTGCCAGGGGCTTAATAAACATGTTGCAATCTCTCAGATTCTTGATAAGCCACACAGGGGCTGAGAGAAAATGGCCCCTCAAATTCTCGATGCTTTTGTTGGCAGCAAAAGGCAGGGAATTTCACTGAATGTTCTTCAGGCCAGGGCTGAAATTATTTCAACAGTTTAAAAGGAACTTGAAAAAGATTGTACAAATAACAACAACAACAATAACAATAATAATAATCAGAAAATTGTTTCCTGTGAAATTTCAGCTCACTTGAAAGTTCATTTATTTTGGTGGGTGGGGAAGCAATCAGCTAGGGACCAAATTGTTTCCTGCTACACTAAAAAAAATTACATCACGTTAAAAAAAGATTTACAGTTGCACCCACAATCATGGAGAGCAAAACTGGGGAGGTCATTATGCAGAATATTATACAGTGGAGGACTGGAATTCTTTAATAGTTCAGGAGAAGCTCAGAAGAGAAATTTTTCAAAATTTGGTCAAGAAAGTTAGCTCAGCTCTAGCAAAAGGAGTCTATTGAACATGGAATGCTGCCTTTGGCTTGATGTCTCAAATTGTGTAGGACTTCCTTGAATTATTGTGCTCTTATTCCCCCCCCCCAATGCATTCTGATCCCCTTTATTCTTCCATTCATAGTATCAGTAAGATAGCTACAATTCAGAGAACCAGGAAGAATCTTGCAACACAGGGCACCCACAGCTAAACGCAAAGGAAGTTATCTGCAAGCTGTATAGTTGCTGATGAATTGTAACACACGTAAAGAGCAGAGGGAAGAGGAAAATATAAGCAAAGCATGCCACGTTTAAATATGCCCTTGGAAACAGGCAAAATGTGTAAAAGAAATATCCTTTTCACCATACATGCTGGAAACTGCTACCCCATTGTGGTACAATGTAACACTTTTCCACAGTCAGGGGAAAAATCTTAGTACAGTGGTACCTCAGGTTAAGTACTTAATTCGTTTTGGAGGTCTGTTCTTAACCTGAAACTGTTCTTAACCTGAAGCACCACTTTAGCTAATGGGGCCTCCCGCTGCCGCTGTGCCGCCAGAGTACGATTTCTGTTCTCATCCTGAAGCAAAGTTCTTAACCCGAGGTACTATTTCTGGGTTAGCGGAGTCTGTTACCTGAAGCGTTTGTAACCTGAAGCATATGTAACCCGAGGTACCACTGTAGAAGACACTCAACTGTTGATCTTTACCATGGTGAAATGACTTTGGAGGTTTCCAGATAAATCAAATTTAATTTGTACTCAATTTCAGGGCTTTAAAAAAGAGGTGGGGGGGGGAGCAAATCTCTGAAATGATACAAATTCTTCTCAGAATCCAACACCCATATTTTTAAATGTTCTGTGTCTTCAGATACATGTGTTTTCTGTTGGAGATTTCCTGTGCAATATTAAAAACACCCTTCTTGCTTTAAATTTCATTTACAGCGGTGTCCCGATTTCCCCGAGAACATCCAGTTTAACAGCTCCGAAGGTGATGTTCTGCATCTACACTCCTTCACTTAATGAATCGAAAGAGCTATTTGCTGTGAACATCCTGGTGATTTTTGTTTCTTTGTTTCGACTCAGTATAGAGTTGGCGTGGACCCATTTAAAACACGATTTTATTATTATTTTTAAAAAAGCAATCTTTATTAATAAATGTGTATGTGATTATGCAGCTACACAATACGTGTGTCTGCATTAGTTCCGTCTATAATTAGTGTTACTGGACAATTCACAGCATATCCTTCACTCTGCGATCAAGATATCAAAACAATAACAGAAGTCTTCCCCCAGTGGACAAATGTATTCTGTTGGTCCAGTTCAGCAATGAGGATTGTGTTAATCTGCAGTGGGGCGGGGGTGTTTAATTTCCTTGTTCTGCTTAATATTTCTATAGTATACTTTAATTGAATTTTAACTGTGCCGCTGGGATATGGTCTAACAAATGTCAGGGCAGCCAGGACTCTTATGCAGAAATCTCAGAGCTGTATTAGATGTCTTTCTGTGTAAATAAGGAGGCGATTAATATTTAACCCTTGAGGGAAACATGAGCATAATCTTAAGGCCAGAAGGTCTCTGCCTTGGATGAGATTTCAATGTGCATGAAACGTGTAGCACATAGGCCACATCAGCATGGCCACTTCATTCAGCCATGAAGATACAAGCCTGGAGATGGGTTTTTACAGTCACAGCTAATGTAGATGGTGGACTCGCAAGTCCCTTTTGTACCCCACACTAGCTAGACACATCTCTTGGCACGTAAGGGGATGTGGGTGTGTTTGCACAAGGCCATTGGCTGTTGCGTGTGCTTGGCTGCATGTAAAGTGAGCTGGTTTTCCTTTGTTTCAATACCTATGGCTTTTTAATTTTAAAAGTGAAGATCTTCCAAGCTGGCTGGCACAAACCTTCCAGTGCCAGGCTTGTATGAGAAATTGCAGGCAAGGAGGGCCAAAATAAATACATTAATTGTGCCACAGGGTGGTGGGAAAAATATGTTGCCCCAACCTTGAGACAAATTTCAAGAGGTGGGGAATCAGACCTTGCACTGATTCCTCCCTTCTGCTGTTGAGGAGTAGCTCCTCTCATCCAGGCCTTTCATTGTGCAACAAGTGTGCAGAAAGCTGCAAAAAAATTGTGATGCTGCCACAGTGTGTGTGTGTGTGTGTGTGTGCCCGCCCTACTTTGTGCTGCAGAAAGTGCCTGCTTATGTTCACGGAACCCTTTATTGTTGCATGGGTGGCATTGTTGTGGTACAAATTTGTAGTTCAGGAATTTCAGGAGTTGTGCTCACCGCACATCAGGGACTGCTGGTGCAACACCCTTTGCCACTTTTCCTATTGTCATGGCTGTATTTGCTAGAAGGACTTGTCTTCCCTGCACCCCACTCTTTCACATTGTTTCACTCGTGTGCTTTCTTTGGACTCCCCAGATGAGCCAGCGAAATCTGTAGCTCTCCTCCTTTGCAGCGATAAGGTGGTGACGAAGAAGAGGGCTGAGGATTCAAGGGCCTAGAGTCGGGATGGCGAACGGTGACCCATCCAGTAGGCAATGCCAGATGGGGCTGGAATGGAGCTCAGTGACACCTGAAGGGCCAAAGGTCCCAATTCATGACCTAGGAAACCCAGCAGGCACAAACCACTTATGCCCCTCAACGACATGGTGGAAGCAAAACTGTATTCACCTGGGAAGGGCCATAGCTCAGTGGCAGATCAGCTGCTTTGTATGCAGAAGGTCCCAGGTTCACTCCCCAGCATTTCCAGATAGAGATGTGAGAGACCCTCAGTCTGAAACTGGAGAGCCACTGCCTGTCAGGGCTGGGCAAGATGGACCAATGGTCTGATGGGAACTTTCCTATCTTCCTATGTTTCTATATAGCAGTAGTTCTGAAGCAAGACCAGTGGCAACATATTAGGATACTAGCTACTCCTGGGTATGGGGGTTCTGAACTAGGACCTGGTCAGCATTTATTGAGTTTTGGCACTGACCACGGTTTTAGTATATATTCCCATATTACATTAAATTGCATTTGGGTCTCGCTATGTGCTTGAATATCTGACTATTGGTTGTGTGTGGAAGACTGACATCTGCCATAGCTTTCCATCTGCATTACAGACCAACTGAAGCAAGGCCCAGTTTTATTCTCATGGGTGAAAAAGCCCCTTAGGAATGGCCGTGCCCTGTGTCTTTTATGGGAAGCATATGCGAAGTATAGTATATATATGATTCCTGTTTTTCCATGCCTAGATCCAGTAGTCTAAAATGTAGAAAATATAGGATATTTAGATAGCTACTATATTTCTTACAGGACAGTGGTGGCTGGCCTTTTCTGACCCAAGGGTCGTACTGACAGTCACCCCTGCATGGACCACCTGTCAATAGTGGGCAAGGTCAAAATATAATTTGTGTGTTTGTGTAAGTGTGCCTTCATGCGTGCGCGCGCACACACACACACACAAATACAAATTGCATGTAAACATGCAGGCATACACACACATACACAACTCTTTCTCTATCTCTCCCTCCCTCAAGGCACAATGAGGGTCTCTTAAGAAATCATCCCCACCCAAGTATGAAGATGGGGGAGCACAATATGTCATGAGCAAAAGGCTGTGCTTCAAGGACCACCACCATGGAGAGAGCTTTTGCCTTTTACTTTTTGCCGATACAGCACTTAACCTCCCAGTCTCAGTACTCTGATGCTCAGTGCTGCGATTGAGAGAGACAAAACTCCTCTACCTGCTCTTCAGAGGAGTATAATCTCTGCCAGGCAGGCAGAGGGATTTAATCTTTTGATCTCCATGCTGAGCACTACAACACTGAGATTTGGAGTCAAAGCTGCAGTGAGTTGGCAGGCCACTCCTCGCAGCTTTCCCAATCTGGCCTGAGGACTGCGGTTTAGCCTCCCCTGCTTTGGAGCAAGGTTTGGCATGCGAGTGATGTGAAATATATACCCGCTGGTGGTGCTTTCTCACCACTGCCACAGGTCACCTGCAGGTGCTTCTTAAGCTGCCCTTATCACAAAGCTGACCCACTCTGAGTGCCATGGTTTGCACGCGCCCCTCCATGCTGCGTTTACCAACTTGGTGCAACCGCACTTGTGCCATGGGTAGCTGTTGACTCATTGGCTTCTGACTCTGTGGAAAACAGTCAGGCAACGCTGCCTCTAGGGGCGTGGGAGGGAATAACCAATCATCTGCATTTCAAAGTAATAATAAGCATTTCAAAGACAGGGATCCTCACTGGGAGGCTTCCCAGAATTCAGTTATATAAGAAACACTGTCATTAGTACAGTATCTTTGATCTGAGTTGTTTTCCCCCACCGCACCCTTATGCCACACTGCTGTGGCAAGGATGGATTCGCGCTAAGTACGAAAACAAAGCTTCTTGCAATAAGTTGTTTTTAACATTTAGCCTTAAGACCCCTTTCCGTCAGTGATAAAGAGTTGAAACTAGGATGCTGTCATGGACTCCCTTTCTACCCTTCTGTATAGTGTTCACTACAGTGTTGCCTCAAGATATAAAGCACTTTGATTAGATTTCTTAAGTCTAATGGAAATCGTGCATCGGTAATTCGATTTATTTCTCCACATATTGCCTTCTGACTAGTTTTTCTGTAGCCTTTCCCCCCCGTTCGTCTGCAAGGACACTTCATCGCCATTGCCACAGACACTTTTATATATCAGGGAGCTGACACCTCATGCTGCTAAAAGTGTTTTGTGTATTGATCGAAGTCTCTCTCACACCCATTCTTCTTGACCAAGGTAGTGTGCTTCTTCTGCCGCCATCGTCTATCTCCACATGACGCCCGAGTGTCGTAGGACCCGGTGTGACAAATCCCACAATGTTATTGTAACTGGAATTTGAACTACCAATGCTGGAGGTGTTTGGGATTTTTAAAAGGAATAAATGCTCGTTTTTATTTTCATTTTCAAAGAGATTTTCAAAGGGCAATGATTTCCCTCCCCACCCCCATTGGTCTTATTCCTATTTAATGTCCTCTGTTTTGAAAGGAATCATTTGAATAATAGAAAGATTCAATAATCTTGTATCAGGATGAACTGCTAAACGAAGTAATATGACTTTTCATAATGAATGTGTTATATTATTGTACCTTCATACGCTCCATATTTTTCCATCACCTGAAAACATGCTGAAACCTTCCTTTTCCACGTCTGCATGGACACTTTATGGCTATCCAGTAATGCAGTTTTTCTGGCACTTTAAAAGAAAATGTACTCCACTTGTTTTTCTCCTTTCCAGAATCCACCAAATACTATCTCTTTTTTGATTATTTCTTTGCATTTGTCACTTTGTCTTACTGAGCATGAATAAAACAAAGATGAATAAGTAGATACTATTTTTGTGGTCAGCTGAAAAAGCTGCCAGTAGAGAGAGTATATATCTCCTGTTTTGGAATGTCCTGATAAAGTTGCTGTCACAAGACATGAATAAATACCCCCTTACTGACATTTTTAAACAAGCACAAATAATATTTGTAAAGACAAATTTTAATTTTATTTATTATAGTAATAAACTATTTTATACATTACAGCGTCTTGCCTCTGCAGTGTGTGATTTTCTGCTTGGACAAATGACTGTAATTTTAAGTTTCTTTTCAAAGGCTGCCTGATTATTTCTGAATGCATGTGAAAGAATTGATTGCTCTGCCATTTTTTTTTAAAAAAAACCTTTCAAGTTCTCTCTCATGGGAGGCACTGCCCATGTGGTCTCTGTGGTTTTGCAGACAGGGACAGCTCTGAATTCCGTAATTGGGGATTCCAGAAATTAATTGCCACAGTTCATGATTCCAGAGTTCATGACAAGCAGGCCTTGGTTCTAGAGTTTTAATTTATTTACCACCCTTAGGATTCCAGGGCAGTGCTCAACAATCTACGGGTGTAATTCCTTTAGTCCTCTTAAGACTGTTGCTCCAGGAGAGGCTTCTCCTTTAAAAAAAAGGGGGGGGGCAGCCAATTTTTGCTGTTTAGCTTCCTCCCATCCAGAGCTCTCCCCTAAGCAAAACCTGTTGCGGGCTTTGGGGAATCAGTGAAAATCACCTCTTTCTCTGCTAGCAGACACCTCTCCTGGGTCAAAAGCCCTTGGCATCACTGGGACATAACCCTGTATTCCAGCACAAAAAGCGGCGGGGGGAGGGGAGGATAAATAATCTAACAATAAGTTAAAATAGGAACATTTTCTGAGGTGGCTTCCCATTTGTGGAATGCTCTCCCCAGGGAGGCTCACCTGGTGTCTTCATTACACATCTTTAGGTGCCAGGCAACAACATTCCTCTTCTCCTAGGCTGTCATTTTCTGTCACGGTGTTTCCTGAGTCTCAGACAGAAGTGAGCTTTTAATGTGTGAAGTAGGAGTTGGAATCTAGCACGGTGATTGGTCAGTTTCGTTGCTACCACCTCCGATGGTGGCTTCCTTTCCTTTCCTCGTGTTTCCTGAGTCTCAGCCTCATGCCAACGTGGAAGTTACTGTGAGCTGTCAGCTGTGTAATATGAAGTAATGCATGTTCTTTGCACTTTTGTCCATTTACTGTATTTCTTCCCCCCTGATTTGAACTATAAAAAGGTGATTTTCTTGAGTCAAAATGAGAGTACCCCTAAACATTTTTTTTAGAAAAAAAACCACTGGATTAAACAATTGATTGTCAGGGGGTATTGTTGGTTATTGGTTGTTGTTGTTATGTTATGTGTCTTGTGTTTTTTCACTGCAAATAACCTGTGACCTTCAAATGAAGGGCAGGATATAAATTTAATAAATAGCAGCAGCAGCAACAGCAACAGCATTTTTGCCTGGCACTAAAAAATATATTGCAACGCAGGTATCAGGTAAACCTCTTTGGGGATCACAGTCCACTACAACTGGGGCACCGCTGCTGAAAAGGTCCTTTTCTGTTTGCCAAACCAGCATCCTTTTGCTGATGGATCCATCCAGAGAAGGCCTTCAGCAAATCTCAAAGCACAAATCAATTACTGTGAGAAGAGACACTCGTTCCAAGCACTTGGGTCCCAAGCCCTTTTTGTGCTTTGAAGGTAAGAACCAGCATCTTGACCAGGTCTTAGAGCCTAAGATGTAATGCTCTTGGTACCAGGCCCTTCAATAACTCTTTCTGCTGCAGCCTCACTTTCCTAGTCAAATATACCTGCTAGTAGCAGCCACAGAGATGATAATAACAGGAGCCAGACCCTGTTATGCTCAAGAATGCTGTGCTAGCCATTTTCCAGCAGCCAGACTGCTGGGGGGAAAAAACTATTGATCAGGACTCCTAGCATCTCAGCATTCTTGGGCATAATAGAAACTTTGTCAGTAGCCCTCATGGCAAAGCACCTGCTAGTTCAGCTGCCATCATTCTCAATTAATGAATCCTGAGGTTTCTGCCATTCAGATCCAGTCATTCAGTCACAATTCCCCTGTTCTTCGATGGATGATGAACTAGAAAACTTGATTTTGTGTAGATGTCTCATTCAGTACCAGGAGAAGTATTTGATTGGGGCTTATTTTCTACAGTTTTTTTTTTAAATGTCCCCATCCAGATGAGCTATAAAGGTAAAGGGACCCCTGACCATTAGGTCCAGTCAAGACCGACTCTGGGGTTGCGGCGCTAATCTCGCTTTATTGGCCGAGGGAGCCGGCGTACAGCTTCTGGATCATGTGGACAGCAAGACTAAGCCACTTCTGGTGAACCAGAGCAGTACACGGAAACACCGTTTACCTTCCCACTGGAAGTATTTATCTACTTGTACTTTGACGTGCTTTCGAACTGCTAGGTTGGCAGGAGCAGGGACCGAGCAACGGGAGCTCACCCCGTTGTGGGGATTCGAACCGCCGACCTTCTGATCAGCAAGCCCTAGGCTCTGTGGTGTAACCCACAGCGCCACTCGCGTCCCCAGATGAGCTGTACTGCTTTCTTAAAAAACAAACACCCCACCCCAAACCTTTAGTGTTTGCACATGCCTGCTATGCCACAGGAACCTTTCCTTCAGCGAGAAGAGGCACAAATCCACAGCTCAGCATACAGGAACACAGAAAGTCAGGCCATTGGTCCATCTAGCTCAGTATTGTCTATTCTGATTGGCAGCAGGGCAACGGCTCTCGAGGATTCCACACAAGGTTCTCTCCCAGTCCTACATGGAGATGCTGGGGATTCAAACTGGGCAAATGCTCCACCACAGAGCTACAGCCCCTTCCCCTGGACCTTAGCCCCTTGGCAGTTACTTTGTGGGGGTTTCATCTTGCTCCCAGTGCTGTTCCTCATTGATATGAAACTACTGGAAGGAGTTATCAGGGGATTCGAAGCGATGTGTCACCAAGGGGTAGTCTGAGTCACAGTGGTCCCTGCGTTGGCAACCTCAAGACTGAGCTACTGAAAGCTGTAGCTAGGAGGGTATGCCGCAGTCTTGCTGCTGAGTAGGACGCCAAGCATGTGATGCCACTTCTGAAAGAACCACACCGGCTGGCAATTTGCTAAGAAACCAAAGGCAGGGTTCTTTTGTTGACTTTCAAAGGCTTTATACATCGACAAAAGCACATTAAAATTGGCTTCTTAGCAAATTCGTACATCAATAAAATGGAGCAAAAGGCAAAGAGAATAAATTGATGGAAGGCAGAGAACAAAGGTAGAGGGAGGGGAACTGAGGCAGCAGATCTGACCCCAAATGGCTTCAGCAAAAGTCATTGCAGGGGTGTAAAAGGTAAAAAGCAACACTACTTTGAATTTCTGGTCCATGGCAACCTTGGAAAAGTATCTCTCACCAGGGCTTTGTGAGATCACACACACTGATGTCCACAAATCTCCTTGCAATATTTTTAAAAGCTGTATAAATGGTAAGTAGCATCAGTGCATGGAAGGATAGACTCTCCTCTTCATTAGCAGTTTTTTTCTTTAAAAAAATGTTTTTATTGGTTTTCAGCAATAATAAAACAAACGACCACACATGTGTGGACGACCACACATACTTCCTCCACGAATGATTCAGATGCATTGGCTCAAAACAGGAGACTTTCAATTACAAAGAAGCAGATGTTCTTCTTGGAGATGTGGAATTCAGAAAGCATGAGAAAGATAAAAATATAAAGCAACACTTTAGCAAACTGATAAATTGAATCATGTGAAGCCCTCAGTTCTCTCTGTTTCTCACCTAATGTGATGATGGGCTCTGGGCTATTGTCTTTTAGATTTACAAAAGCAATAAAATAATACCTTGTGTTAATAAATTAATCATTTTTGTGACAATGTGGTATCGTTTTTAATTTACTTGTCAATTTTTCATTTATGTAAGCCAAAAACCACACTTACCAATACCACTAGTCAACAGTTGCTCATTCGAGGCACCTCCAGAATTCAACTCTTGTTAATCAAGCTGCCATGAGAAGGTGACCGATCAAGGACTTGCTCTTAATGTCCCTGTCCAGAAAGAGATCTACAGCCTTACAGCAAAGGCTGAATTTCCTGAATCTATAGCAGTGGATTTCCTGCATTGGCTGGGGGTTGGGCTAGATGGCATTTGAGGTTCTCCTCTTTCCACAGGGCAGGTGAAAGTACAAGTGATATGAAAACAACATCATTCTACAGCTTGGCCCCAACGGGTGTCTGTCGTACTATGATCAGAGCGCATTCCTCGTCTCGCTCCTCTTCTCCTGGGTCTCGAAGTGACATCTCCGAGAAGCTTGCTTGCTGGGAGCTGTCACGGCCTGCCCCAAGGCAGGGAGCACACCAGTTTTGATGATCCGTCCATAATAAGCTCCAGTTGTAGGTGATTCATCCCTGCGTTCAGCTGGGGACACATCTTGTTAGGCAGCCTGACGTAACACAGTCCGCAGGCAAAGGGTTATGGGAGGCAAAGGCACCTAACTGGCAGTATTTTTATTTCAGTGTTAAAAAAAAACAAACCCCAACAAGAAGAAAAGATGGCAGCCTCGTTACCCTAAGAGTGTAGGCTGTTTACAGGTAGGTAGCCGTGTTGGTCTGGCGTAGTTGAAACAAAATAAAACATTCCTTCCAGTAGCACCTTAGCTTAGAGACCAACTAAGTTTGTTATTGGTATGAGCTTTCGTGTGCATGCACACTTCTTTAGTGAAGGCTGTGTTATTTTACAGAAACATGGGTCCTGCTTTCCTCAAGGCTCAGGGGTGCCTTCTAATTCTTTACCCAGCACAAATATTTTCTGTAATGCAAATAATAATAATAATAATAATAATAATAATAATAATAATAATTTATTATTTGTACCCCGCCCATCTGGCTGGGTTTCCCCAGCCACTCTGGGTGGCTTCCATAGAAACCAAAAATACACTAAAATATCATACATTAAAAACTTCCCTGAACAGGGCTGCCTTCAGATGTCTTCTGAATGTCAGGTAGTTATTTATCGCTTTGCCTCTCAAATATTAATATTGCTGGATTTCTTGCTTTGCTGAGTTAACCCAAGGAGGTGGCCTCCTTTTGTGATCCATCAACTTACAACTTTTCGCTGAGGAAATTGGCTAATGGACATTTGCCCCTTTTGGGAGGTATCCTCCCACTGTTGCTCCTCCCCACTTTTGCCGTGGCCCCACCCATTGGCATGTGGCCCTCAGAAGGTTGAGAAAAAGGGAATGTGGCCCTTGGTCTGAAAAGGGTTCTCTTCCTTTGATCTAGGTCTCCTAGTCCTTGCTCAGCACTCTGTCTACCGCCATACGGACTCCTTTAGGTAGGTGAGCTTTAATGGCAAACTTGTCAGTTTTGTAAAAAGCACTGCTCCAAAGTTCTGGGAAAAATTTGCGTAATCAAGTGACCTGCAGGACAAATCAGAAACAGCAAGTTCAGGGCATATGTAAATCGATGTATACTAAAGCAAAAAGAACGTCATGATGCTATTGTTATAATTGACTATTTCATGGATTTTTCTTTTTTAAAGAAGTTAAGCTCCCGCCCTGCTTTGACCTGCTTTGAGCAGATTAGTCAAACTAAGAAGCTTTTCATTCTCTGATGTGAAACCGATATGGGAGCAAAGCTTAGTGCACAATTTGTAATCAAGGCAGAATGAGAGAGAGCACCAATTAGTCTGATTGTACCAACAGAACTGTTGCAAAATGGCAATTGCCTTATGCTAGCTTGTTGCATCTCACATATCTCACATATCAAATTTTGATGTCCCTGCCAGCCCTCATGCTGCCAAAATTTGATGTGCCCCACCCTTGTGCTGCCTTCCCAAGCCGGCTAAGAGAGGCACTGGGCTTTGTGAAGGAGGTGCAAGGCTCTGGCAGGTTCTTAGAGCCCTCCCACCTCCTTCCCAAAGACGGGAAAGTGCTAATAAGGCTTTGGGAAGGAGGGTGGAGGACCTGAGGAGCCTATCAGAGCCCTTACGCCACCTTCCCAAAGACTGCCTCCTTATGCAGCTTTGGGAAGGCAGTGCTAGGGCTGTGGGTAGAGAGTTGTCAAATGCTGCTGATGGCTGCCAAGAAAGGCCTTGGGGGCATGTTGGACCACCATGTTCTAGCTGAAGGGCTATGAGGCGACAGGCCTCTCCTCTATTCAAGGGACTTTCTGCTCCAACTGCCTGTCAGACTTCAGGGAATCCGATCCCTCCCACAGTGGCAGCCAAGAAGCAGATAAACAATAAATGTTCTTACCAAGCAATTTATTCAAGACAGTGGAACCTCGGGTTGCGAATGTGATCTGTGCGGGAGGCACGTTCGCAACCCACAGCGTTCGCAACCCACAGTGCCGTGTCTGTGCACGCGCGGGTCGCGATTCGGCGCATGCACGAGCACCGAAACCCGAAGTAACCGTTCCGGTACTTCCAGGTTTGGCACGGTGCGCAACCCAAAAATGCATAACCTGAAGCATCTGTAACCTGAGGTACCACTGTAATTCACAGAGAGCAATGAAGGAATGCAGTCTTCCTATGATAATGGCATTGCTCTGAGTAAGGTCCCACCCCCTTGGTCTCTCCTATTCTACGTCATGGCTGCATCAGCTAATCTGAGCTTTCTGCCTCTGAGCTTTCTGTCTGACTACCCTCAATGCTCGCCTGGTCCTGGGAGCTGGGTCAGGAATGCTTTCCAAAGACACTGAGTCTGTCAGCTGTCTCTCCCCTGGTGCTTCTTCTTCCTGCTGCTCCTCTTCCAATGTTTTCCAGCTTCTCCCCTCTGCAGCCTCTGAACTATGACCTTCTACAAACCACTATTCTAAATCTATACTGTCCTCCTGTTCTCGGGAAGGTTCAGGAGAAGGAGGGGTGGTCCCCAACATTCCTCTTCAGTCCAGTCCCTGACACTGCCATTTAAAGATAAAGAATTCTAGGAACGGCATGAGGGCCTCAAAGCTGCCCATCAACTGTGAACAACACCTCAACTGCACACTGAGCAAACAGGGAGGTCACGGTCTTCCCTTCTATGGTGAGATGTATTTCTGTTTTGATTAGAGCCAGTGTGGTGTAGTGGTTAAGAGCGGTAGACTCTTAATCTGGTGAACCAGGTTCGCGTCTCCGCTCCTCCACATGCAGCTGCTGGGTGACCTTGGGCTAGTCACACTTCTCTGAATTCTCTCAGCCCCACTCACCTCACAGTGTTTGTTGTGGGGGAGGAAGGGAAAGGAGATTGTGAGCCGCTTTGAGACTCTTTAGGGTCGTGATAAAGCGGGATATCAAATACAAACTCTCTCTTCTTCTTATTTCTAAATTTGCATTTCTGCAGATGAGTCAGGCAAATTATATGCAAAACTGTGGTCCGTGTTTTTTTTTGGGGGGAGGGGGGCAATGCGGAAGTGACCACCCTATTCCCAAGACCAGTTTGCTGACACACATATTTACCGGACTGGAATTCAGATGTGCCCCTCTAGGAATTTCATAAATGCTTTTTTGTGAAATGATATTGCCACTCTAATTCCTGGGTACACAACAGCCAGATGGAGATGTCACATGGAGGCAAGAGAGGTGACGCAGGCCAGAGGTTCACATGCCAAAAGAACAAATTATCTCCTCTAGATCCACAACCTTGGCCTCAAAGGAGTACCTGTCAGTGAAGTAAGCAGTAGGCCAGAAAAGAGCCCAATTAGCATGCCATTTTGGGCCAAGATTCTGTCATTTTTATTCCATGGCCTAAGAGCAGATGGACTGATGGTGTAAATACTTAAAGGTATGGGCTTGCTTTCAAAGTGGGTCTTGTGGTAGGTTTTAAACATTTATATTGCATCCATTTTGATACAACAGTGTCAATCAATTAAAAAACAATTTGAGACTGTTTACTGTACCAACCTTTTATTCATCCCTAATCCTTTCTCAAAACTCTTCTCTTTCATTTCACTTTTGTACTCAAATTTTCAACCATCTTCTATGAATGTGATTCCAAATTAACGATTCTGGATTTAGTTGTAAGCCTTGTTTGGATTTAGTTGAAAGCCTTGTTTGGATTACATGCTAAGACAAACTATGGTTTAGCGCAGCCTGGTACAGCAGCAAAAAGGATCAGAGAAGGAGAAATGGCTGTCAGCAGCTCTCCAGGAGATCACACTAAGCCAGGGGTTGGCTTAACATGTCATGAAAAATATCTTACAGTGAGCCAAGACACTCGTAGTTCACACCTTCCAACATGCAACAACCAGGAAAACAAAGACCAAATCAGTACAAGATATTATCAAAATAGAATCCGTAAACATTTTTTCCTCCTAAAAACATGTGAAACAATGAGTAACAAAAGATAATAGTATCCAAAAATCGTCTTCTCTTCAAAATTTCTAAAATCAAAGGATCCTGCTTCCAGGTAATTGACTCCTGGGATTTTGGGGGTGAGGGATGTAAAAATGGTACTAGAACACAATTTGGGGGTGTTTTGTATTTTTATTTTTGCCAATATTACCTTCATGGCAATCCCAAAAAATGGTGGGAGGAAGGAGAATGAAGGTGGATAAAGTGCCTTTTCATACTCCCTGCTAGGACCAAAGGATTCTAATATCAAAATTTTATTTATTTATTGAATTTATATACCGCTCTATACCGAGGGGTCTCATGCTTAACTTTGGCTGGGTCTTGGGAACTCACCAGATTATATAGTCATACATATCCACATTAGATAAAGGTAAAGGTAAAGGACCCTGGGATGGTTAAGTCCAATCGAATTCGGAAAATGCTAGTCAAATACGGGGTGCAACACTCATCTCTGCTTTCAGGCTGAGGGAGCCGGCGTTTGTTCGCGAACAGTTTTCTGGGTCATGTGGCCAGCATGACTGAACCGGTTCTGGTGCAATGAAACACCGTGACTGAGGTCAGAGTGCATGGAAACACAGTTTACCGTCCTGCTGGGGTGGTACCTATTTATCTACTTGCACTTTGAGGTGCTTTTGAACTGCTAGGTTGGCAGGAGCTGGGACAGAGCAATGGGAGCTCACCACCATTGTGTGGATTTGAACTGCCGACCTTATGATTAGCAAGCTCGAGAGGCTTGGTCGTTTAGATCACAGCGCCACCCACATCCCCATACCTACATTTTTTTTTAAAAAAAACAACCCACATTAAAAACATATCTCCAAATAGTTATTGATCTATAAATAGTATCTTGAGAGACAAATACGTTTTTAAAACATTTGCATTGATTTAATGCCCACCCCCATGTATCTTACAATGACTTCCAGAGTTTCAAAGGCTTTGGCAAATGCATACAGATGAGAAATTCCTACACCTCTTGATGGGCAGCATGTCAGGATACACTGGGATACTGGTATGGCATTGTACACCGAGACACACAAGATGGGCTTCATAGGTCAAAGGTCCCTTCTTGAGAGGTCTAGAGGGCATCCCTTCCAATAACTGCTAATGCCTGCTGTAAGTCTGTTGCCATTCAATCCCAACATGAGAGTAGCAGTAGAGGAATCCCCAAACAGAGAGTGTCGCCCATGGCCAGCCTGCGAATAGAAGAAACAAGAGATTAGGCAGATGCAGAGCACTAGAATCCAGTGAATGAGCCAGAGATGCAAAGCTCACCAGCTCAGCAACTTTACAGTTTTCGGCAGGTCTGGAAAAGGGTGAATGCCATGCAAGGAATCATTTTAGGAAAGGAATTGAAAAGAAAACTGTCAGTGTTGCAATGCTGTTGTGCACAAACCTCTGGTGCTATCCCAGCTGAACTACTGTGTACTTGGTGTTCTAGTCACTACACCTCAAAAAAGAGATACAGTGGTACCTCAGGTTACATACGCTTCAGGTTACAGACTCCGCTAACCCAGAAATAGTGCTTAAGGTTAAGAACTTTGCTTCATGATGAGAACAGAAATTGTGCAGCTGCGACGCAGCAGCAGCAGGAGACCCCATTAGCTAAAGTGGTGCTTCAGGTTAAGAACAGTTTCAGGTTAAGTATGGACCTCCGGAATGAATTAAGTACTTAACCCGAGGTACCACTGTACTGTTGAGCTGGAAAAGGTTCACAAAATGGCAACCCAAATGATAAAGGGAATGGAGGAGCAACAGGTACAACATTTGAGGCTTTTCTTTATGATATATGGTTCATTTACACAGCTATACAACCTGAGCTGATGTTGGAGGGATTCACACCATTCACACCGCAAGAGGTTTTGGCTTCTCCACAGCAGCCTTGGACTTAAATAGACCCCAACCATTGCTCTCAAATGCTGCTCTCTCACTCCAGCCTGCGGCTTATTATGTCCGTTTTACAACTCCTGCAACTCTAAAACACTTTAAAACTAATACTCATTTGAGGAAAGAAGGGAGGGAACACACTCATTTGCAAATAAGGTTTTCCCTTGATCTTTTGTTGTGTTAACCACTCCTTATCCCCAGGCTATGGCCTCGTGTAGAAGGCTAGTCCGGGTTTAATTTGCTTTTGACAACATTGGAGGCTTTTCAGTTTAGAGAAAAGGCAAGTAAGAGAAGCGTTTAGAACTATACAAGATGTGGAGAAGGTGGAAAGAGGTAAGTTCCACCCCCCCACACACACCTCATGACACTAGAACACTAGATGTACAATGAAGCTGAACGCTGAAAGATTCAGGGCAGACAAAGAAGAGTTTGGATTTGATATCCCGCATTATCACTACCTGAAGGAGTCTCAAAGCGGCTAACATTCTCCTTTCCCTTCCTCCCCCTCAACAAGAACTCTGTGAGGTGAGTGGGGCTGAGAGACTTCAGAGAAGTGTGACTGGCCCAAGGTCACCCAGCAGCTGCATGTGGAGGAGCGGAGACGCGAACCCGGTTCACCAGATTACGAGTCTACCGCTCTTAACCACTACACCACACAAACAAGAAACAACTTTTTCACATAGCCTGGAAACTTGCTCCCACAAGTGGCAGTGATGCCACCAACTTGGATGAAAAGAGGATTGGACAGATTTATGGAGGAGAAGGCTATCGAGCTGGCTATGTTCCACCTCCACTGTTAGAGATGATATGTCTCTGAATGCCATTCACTGTGAATGCACTACTGTGTCCAGGTTCTGCCTTGGGGCTTCCCTTTGGCATCTGGTTGGCCACTGTGAGAACAGGATGCTGGACCATTGGCCGGATCTAGGAGGGCTCCTCTGATGAATAAGGATGCCTGGAGCAGATCTGATGCTACCTGGCATCATCTCAGCAGATGCTCAAGTTAGCCCTCCAGGCCTATTCATGTAATTGAACTGATATGAGCTCAGTCCAGCAGGCCCTGCTGCCTCATACCTTTGATTCATTTCAAGCTCTCTCTTTTATCTTTTTCTGAATGGAGAACTAAAAAGAAAAAGGAAGGTTAAGCACAGATGACTTTCTTTTCAGTCTTGGCAGAATGCTCCAGGCTTTGGAAGGAAGTGAAACAAAATAAGGCGTCCTTTCATTTAAACCATCTCTGGAGAGTGGGCATCAGGGTGAGTAGGAAAGAGAGGAAGTTGGAGCAAACACAGCTCTCCAGAAACGCTAAGGGGAAATTTCATTCCACTTAGGCTTGATATCAAATGCATCATTACAGGTTTTTGTTGCCGAGATGTGCAAGGACTCTGTGATTTAGGTAAGGCCAAAGCACCCTTGAAATGACTGCTGTAAATGAATGGTTCGTGTGTTCTTATTATTTGATTATTGAGAAGGGTACAGGATGACATGCAGGTCATCACAGAGAAGCTGAATTCTTCGGTGACATCATTGGAGTCTGCTTCTCACATTCTCTCCTCCTCACATTCTCAGCTCTTCTTGAAGCACTTGCCTCTACCTGGATTTCTACAAACATTTCAATTTGCAAAAATAGAACAAGTGTTCAGAAGTTAGGGAAAAGTGTAGAAAAGTAGACTTTTCATTTTTCCTTTTAAAAGTGATGTTAGTTGCCTTGTGTGCTTCGTAAGTGAGCTAGAAAGACAAGTCATCAAATATTGTAAAAAATCAGATGATATTAATATCCTTGAACGAACAAGAGTTGCTAGCTTAACTGTGCTGGTCCCGGGGGGGGGGGGAGGTACTATTACCGTAGCCAACGTTCAGTCCTGAGTCACTAGCCTGGTAGAAGTTCACAAGATGAGACGCGAGGTCCGAAACAGGGAGCCGGGCGGGGTCAGGAACACTCGAAGATCAGAAGCAGGAAGCCGGGCAGGAAACAGGAACACTGGAAGGTCCGAAACAGGGAGCCGGGCGGGAACAGGAACGCTGGAAGGTCAGAAGCAGGAAGCCGGGCGAGGAACAGGAACACTGGAGGTGCAGGTCTAGGTCCGGGTAAGAGCAGGTACTCCACAACGACGTTGCTCCCGCAACCTGGGACCGGGCTGACTGACCTTTATCTTCTCTAAGGCCAGGGGCGGTCCCGGCCCCCAGGAGCCCCGCCTCTCCTGGCCTTAAGGCGAGCACTCCTCCTGGGAGAAACCAGTTCCCTTCGCCTCTCTGCCCTAAGCCTCTGCAGTTCAGGAGAGTCTGAAGGGTTACTGGGCCCCGGGGGAGACTCACCTGTAGACACTGAGTCCTCAAGCACCTCTGGGGCCAGAATGGTTTCACCTGGTGCCTGCTCCTGAGGATCTGGCACAGATGCAGGCTCCTCAGAATCTAGGCCTTGCCCCAGTTCAGCCGGCCCTGGAGGTGGGGACTCCTGTGCCGGCTGGGATTCCTCCGGTTCACTCTCAGAATCGGAATCCCAGGCCATCTAACTGTGAGTTAAATGAGTGATTGTGGATGTTGATCAAAGATGAAAAACGTTTCTTAACTTGAATATCTGTGCATAGACTTCTTAATGGGCAACAGGGCTTTTTTCAGCCGGAACTTGCTTCCGCAGCGATGCTGGTGGTGGAGCAATCAGGTGGAGAAGTGTTTCCCCCCCTAAAAGGTGTTGCTTGTTTGCCTCCCCCCCCCAAAAAGCCAGGAGTTCCTGCATCTCTTTTTCTAGAAAAAAAGCACTATTGGGCAATATACATGCACTGGTGTAGGTCTCAAAAATATGTGCTTTGCTGGACACGTAGGTGAGAAAGAAGAGTTTGGGATGAATAAAGGTTGAACAAATGAGAACCCTTTGAACTTCTAGCTGGAGTTAGCTGAGACTGGAGGCAAAGCCTTGGGGCATGTATGTGCTCTAGTAGCTGTGGGTAAGGAGTGCCTGTTTCCTTCCATTATGCTCTGCTGGTATATTGCAGAAAGCACCACAACTTTCCCCTTCCAAAGGAAACTAACTCTGGGAATGCTGCTGATGGGAATTCCCAATGTTCAGGGAAGTAGGGAATGAATGCAAAATGAGAGGAAAGAAAGCATTTGTGATCATTGCTGCTCAAAGCAAAACCAACAAGAACGTGCTGATTCTGTACAGCCCCTGTCTCCCAATTTCCTTCGGAAATCATAAAACTGGAATCCAGATTCTGCTTTAGAGTTGCAACACTTGCATTACAAGCAGCAAGGAACTGCATGTGGGCCAGTTGCATGGAGTTGCATGCAGGCAAGTCAGGAGCTGGAGTCAGGAGATGCTCAGCAATAAAAATACCAATGCCAGTGAAGTTAATTCTTCATTCATAGAAACCCCAACAGCTCAGGTGATCACAGCTAGTGACCACAGAAACTCTTCTCAGCAGGTCTTGCCCCAATGAGCCAGTTGTGAGGGCTCAAGGTCCCTGCCTTCCCACAGCTGCCTGTCTCCTCCTCTCCAGAGTTTTCCCCAAACAGCCAGAGACTGTATCTGCATGCAACTAATCTTCCCTCTGTGTGTTCTGGGAGCTCAGGGGGGACAGGAGCTGGTCGCAGCAGGAGGGGGAGACTCTCTGGATTCTTTTTCTACATATAATTTTTATTAAATTTTCTGTTTTACAATTTAGAATACTCATTTAAACATCCGTAAAATATCAATGACTTCCCTTCTTCTCTTTCCATGCTTCATTTTGCATATCACAAATCCCTGCATATTTTACATGAACTAAACCATTCAGTATTCCCTTATTACTACATCCATCAAAACTTATTTACACTGTTGAATTTATCTTAATGCTGCCAACGTTTTCAAGTGTACAAAATCCGCCCCCCCATATATTCAATAAACATTTCCCAAACTTCTCTAAACGTACAGTGGACGCTTGGGTTGCGAACGTGATCTGTGCAGGAGGCACGTTTGCAACCTGCAGTGTTTGCAAACCGCAGTGGCACGTCTGCGCACACGTGGGTTGCGATCCGACGCTTCTGCGCATGTGCAAAGTGCAATTTAGCACTTCTGCACATGCGCAACCCCTGAAACCCAGAAGTAACCCGTTCCAGTACTTCTGGGTTTCGGTGGGTCCGTAACCCGAAAAAACGCAACCTGAAGCGTCTGTAACTCGAGGTATGACTGTATGTTCTTCTTGTTCTCTTATTCTATATGTTAAGTCCACAAGCTGCACATATCCCATCAGCTTAAGTTGCCATTCTTCTTTAGTTGGGACCTTGCTCATTTTCCATAGAGACTCTCTGGGTTCTTCAGCAGCCTGCCTCA